GCACTTGCAATCAAAGATTACTTGTCAAAATGTCCCGGGGAAAACCTTGCACTCAAGGTGCAAGGTGCAAGGCATGCTGTTAATTATATCTGTTGTAAACCCAGGGGCGGATCTACTGGGGGGGCATGGGGTGGCAGTTGCAACCCCAAATGAGAGCCTTGCCACCCCTGTTGCCACCCCAGCTGGCGACTATGAATTCAATAAATAGTTATGGGAAATCTGGCATTAAGCGCATAAATATCTTTTTTCCGACAACATTGAATGTAACACAATGTAACCTGACACCTACTGCTGAGTAGCAGGAAGTGCGAGGGAAGAACAAAGCGCGAGGCAGCAGCATTGATATGGAAGGATATAAATTACTGGACTGGACATTACATGACTTATCGTGCGCCACACATGCGCCATTGCTGCCCATTGAGTCAGCATTATGGGTGGTCAGGAAAATACCACAGTCACGCGAAGAATCTGGAAAAATGGACGCAATATTTAGCGGTTAATTCAACCTTATGAATTGGATAACAAGGGCTTCAGGTTTAACAGGTGAGGAAAAAGTTTTAACTTAAAGAAAACACTGAACAAGTGAGCAGTGGGTCAGTTATGCTAGCCTAACTGTTGCTAGCCTTCTATTGACTTTGATCACCTTAACATGTGCTGCGCAGTTTGGTGTGTTTTGGTTCCGTTAGCAATAAAACAGGTCAACCCGCCCACCAAGTCATCAGTAGAGCAGGTGTTAAAATGAGTTCATCAACCACCGCTGTGCTCAGGCGAAAACTTATTAATAATCACAATATAGACATCAAGCCTGACAGCATAACTTTTTTTGTGTGGGAAATGTTTGTTTTTTGGTGTTGATTTCCCTGATCGGTAATCTCTGCTCTATCTGCTCGTTGAGCTGTTGTCTGTTGGTTGCCATGGCAACGGGTCCGTGTAAAGCCGATACACAGCGAGAGAAGGCAGAATATAAGTGGTGTTTGGTTCTTCTCCTGTTTATCAGCTTTATTGTGGCGCACTGTCTGCAGCTGCTGTACTTCATAAAAGTTAAACAAGCAACAAAAACTGAACTAATCATCAAACTACGGCTCCTACAGCATATTTAAAATAAAACGATTGACCAATATAAGAGAAATTTGCCCCTTCTTTTGCATCTTGACAGAACTAACAGAAACAAAACTGTTTATAGATTTGTATCACGGAGAATTGATCAAACATCAATTTTCTCCTCTTTATTTTAAGTCGTATTTAATAGCTATATCTGATAACAAATGATGACGCTACGAATATTTTTGTGACAGATTTCTGCTCCTGCATTGGGATAAAATGGTTTTCTGGACATAACTCAATAAATCATATAGCGACTAATAGGCGCTGTCCAATCCAGTAATGCATATCAATTAGGAGGAGTATGAAAGACATGAAAATAATTAACTATACTATATTAAGAAATTATATTTAATCCTCAGTGCTACATGAAGCTCATTTTGAAACAATGCAAGTTAAAAACAATATTTTGAAACAAGTAAATCAAGTAAATTAAGTCCAATGTTAGGTCTGTGTAAGCTAAATGTGAGAATGAGACGCTTAATTTATATAATTTATTATATATATATATATATATATATATATATATATATATATACTGCTCAAAAAAATAAAGGGAACATTTCACTTTAATTTTGTGTGTGGCTCCAAATCCAGGCCTCCATTGGTTAATAAATTTGATTTCCATTGATGATTTTTGTGTGATTTTGTTGTCAGCACATTCAACTTTGTACAGAACAAAGTATTCAATGAGAATATTTCATTCATTCAGATCTAGGATGTGTTATTTGAGTGTTCCCTTTATTTTTTTGAGCAGTGTATATCACCACCTGCTGCGCCACAGCAGGTGGTGATGGACATAAAAAAAGGCTTTTGCAACCTCTGTTTGCAATACCCAAATGTTCTTGTTTGGATTCTGGAAGAGCTCAAAATACAACTCCAAAAAGTTTTCTTTTTTTCTGCTATAAGTCGGTGGATGAATTGAAGTTAGAAAATTACTTTAGATTTAGAAAGAACATACTTTATTTCTCTTTTTTACACAGCATTGACTGTGCTGGCATCCTGAAGCTGCGGAATGCTGACATTGAGCTGAAGAAAGGCGAGACGGATATTGGACGGAAGAACACTAGAGTCCGAGTTGTATTTCGAGTCGCCGTGCCTCAGCAGGACGGACAGATGCTCTGGCTGCAGACAGCATCTGTTCCTGTGGAGTGCTGTGAGTGTTCTACAGCTGCATTTGAAACCAGATATTTAGATAAGCTGTGTACACAATCAACTATTCAACCAAATTAAACTTTCTTGTTTTACATGAGTTATAATGACCAACATTATTTACTTTTTTTATATATATTTTCTTCAAATCGAGAAGTTTACATTGTGCAAGATTTTCATGCAGTGAATAGTTTAGGAAATACCATGATGGCTTTGACTGCTTCTTAACAACTACCGGGTTAAATGGGCCGACATTTATTTTACAGCATACCTACTGTTTTTTGGGTGATATGGAAAAAATAATGAAATCAGGCTAGATAACCTGAAGAGAACAGGTTACCCCCATGAGTCTACTTCAACTTCACATTTTTAACGAGAGCACATCTACATATTCAAGCAAATAGTTGCTAGTATACAGCATCAGAGTGTCCTGTCATCATGCTTTTTCTGGAAGGAAAGAGTTGTGATCTAGAGATAAATGCATTTTAGAATGCGTGTACACTTCCCCAAGTCAAGATGGTGCCAGGAAATGTATATGATAAAAATATCTAACAAACTCTCATTTGTTTTGCATTTAGCAAGTACAAATAATTGCTTGACTGTTTTATCTGAGCTGCAGTCAGCTAAAACAAGACAAGTGATGTGTAATTTAATCTCAGACAGTGAGAGACAAAGTTATTTACCCAACCAACTTTATTTATAGAGGACTAAGAGCCCACAGGACCAATGTGCGGTATACAGTCAATACAGTATGTACAGTATTTGTTTATACAATACATATAAATATTGGCTTTCAGCTGCACATGAACATTTTGGTTTGGTATTAAACAACATACTATGCTATACTTTGCATAATAAGTAAAGAATTCCTTATTATAATTAACACCAGAAGATATTATAAATGACATATTTCCACAGATGTTCAAAAGTAGTGCTGGCTGACAGTTTACTTTTTGAGAAAATAGAGCTGCTATTTTTACCACCAATGAAAGGATGAACAGGAGCGTCTGAAATCTTAAACTGAGCTGTTTTCCAGCCCAGCGATCGGGTCAGGAACTTCCTCAGGTGGAAAGTTTCTCTCCTACCAGCTGCTTTGTGGACGGAGGAGAAGAGCTGCTTATCACCGGAACAAACATGTCTGCACAACCTAGAGTTGTTTTCGTTGAAAAGGGGCCTGGTAAGATCCTCTTATGTTCATCAACAAGTGTATTTTCATCATGTCTCTTTTCACTAACATTAATCAGCATTGTAAATGCATTGAACTTTTAGATGGAAGAACACAATGGGAAGTAGATGCCAGAGTTCTGTGTGACAAAAGTAGTGAAGTAAGTACAAAGCAGTTTATTTGGACGGCTGTATTAGTCGGAATATTTATTGATATTTATAGCAAATATAAAGGTTTAAATTTGTAGCATATATGAAATGTATTTTGTATAAACCTGCTGATTGCAATGTATCAGTAGGTTTATACATTGCCATCAGCAATACATAAACAGCAATGTACATTGTAACAATCAGCAGGTTGTGTGTACTTTGTGTGCTACATTTATTAACTAGTGAACTATTTTGATTACAGTTGAACAGTGACTTCAACACAGTATAACATGATTGAGACTCCTGAATTTGGATCTCATATTTATTTGTTTTTGTTATAGTCAAGGATCATGGTGGAGATCCCCCCTTATGTTAAGAGGACAGTGTCTCCTGTCCAAGTCCAGTTCTATGTGTCAAATGGGAAGAGGAGAAGAAGCCTGATGCAGAGCTTCACGTACCTGCCTGGAACCAGAGGTTCCCATCGAGCTGCTCCTGCAGTTAAACAGGAGCTTTGGGGGTCCGAGCACATCTTCTGTCCAGATCCCAGTCTATCACCTTCCCATGATGCCGTGCTCAGGCCAGATGCAGCTTATGATCCATGCAGTGTCCCACTGCATGGTCTTCCTTCCCAAAACTCCTCTCATCTACACCATCCTCCTGCTTTCACGCTTTCCCTTGAAGCATCATTGTTTCCTCAGGTGTCTTCAGCACCATGTCAGATCATGACTGCACCTCCAAATCTAGGTTTGATGTCAGTGCAGATGGGCACAATTGATGTACAGGCACCTTCTCCCCACATCCAAACTCTAAACCTCTCTCCTCATGCCTCTGCTGGTGGTCCTCCAAGGAAACAATCTGAAAGTTCCAAGAGTTCTTTGAAAAGCTCTCTGGACGCTCACAAAGAGTTCCTGCTGCACAACCCAGGAGAAGAGCTGAATGTCAAGGAAGAGCCGGAGGAGCAGCCTATTCTAGGATCCCTGGGCTTCCAGGAAATCACTCTGGATGACGGTAAGAAGCAAATTAAAGCACTGGCAACCTCTAGAACAGGGGTCTCATTCTCGCGGCCCGCAGGATGATGTCTTGTGGCCCCCACTGTGACATGAAAGTATAAATTAGTGCAGCCCACAGGGTGAGCGGACCTCTGAAGGAAGTTCCGCCCACCGTTCCGCGTCATGGCTGACATTCTGTGCTAGGCTAAGCTATACTGACTTCATGCACACTACGCTTGTAACAATAGTGCGACGGATGATGGAACAGTCCGGTACCAGTTGCCTTTTTTTGCAGTCGCCATTCCGGTACTTTCTACCATTAACAAATGCCACGATCAAACGCAGAGAAAGACGACTGCTACCGGGCTGCTCGTCATCTGCCGCACTGTTGTGACAAGTAGAAGCGGTAATTATGTCACGCGTCAAGACGTTCTCCATACGTTGCTAGCTGGTTAAAGACTTCTATGAAACGTAGAACAAGAGCGACGCCAAGTGGAATAAACTAAATTTTGTCACACCCTCATCATGTCTTTGTCAAAGCCAAAGCCTGCAGTTCTATGGAGGACCATCCTTACATGAGTTTCTGTCAAGTAATGTATATATTTTCTTTATTTCCCCTAAACATGCGTTTTTGTCAAGAAAAATAGATATTTTGCTTTGTCTGTTTTTGCTTCTCCCTTTTCTGCTCGCTGTATTTCTGCTTGCTGTATTTCCATTTGCTGTTTTTCTGCTGCATCGTTATGTTAATGAGGAGAGCTGCCTTCTATGCCCAGTTCCTCTACTATTGGCCAATAGAGCTTTGGAACCAACGTCATGTCACTGCATCAGACGTTGTGGGGCATTTAGGTGTAGTCGCTCGGTGCCATCTTTGCAGGCCATGGTCACAGACCAAAACAAACTTTATCCCGGTGATTTTATTGCGTTACCGACTGCAGTGAAGTGAACCTCCGAGCGCTTGAGGAGAGAACTAGAGAACGGCTGGCTGAAATTAGCGTTCATAAATCACATATCTTGAGTTAAACGCCGCTTGCTTGGCAGATATTGGAAAATCCAACATCCAACTCGAAACTAACTTCACTGGTAACACAATAAAACCACCGGGATAAAGTTTGTTTTGGTCTGTGGCCTGCATAGATGGCACCGAGCGACTGCACCTAAACGCCCCAAAACGTCTGACGCAGTGACGTTGGTTCTAAAGCTCTATTGACCAATAGTAGACGTAGAAGGCAGCTCTCCTCATTAACATGACGATGCAGCAGAAATTCAGCGAGCAGAAATACAGCAAGCAGAAAAGGGAGAAGTAAAAAAAGACAAAGCAAAATATCTATTTTTCTTGACAAAAACGCATGTTTAGGGGAAATAAAAAAGAAAATATACATTACTTGATGGAAACTCGTGTAAGGAAAAACTAAATATATTTATGCTTTTATTTCTTATTATGTCGGTTTTGGTCCTCCATATGCAGTTCATGTATCGGAGAAATAATTAAATGTTGATGACATTTGAGGATATTTTTTAATTGTTTTTTTTGTGGAATCCTTTATGTGGCCCAGCCTCACCCAGACTCTGCCTCCAGCGGCCCCTGGGTAAATTGAGTTTGAGACCCTGCTCTAGAATATTTATTGTCAAGCTATGTAAAAGTTTACATGATCAGATTTTCACTAGTTTGACCATGTACAACAATTTCTCTTCTATATAAATTACAGTTAGGGGGGCATTCAGGAAATGCCATGAACTGTTCCCAAACCACAGTTCATGGCATTTCCTCAACAGCTTGCTGTATGTTAACAGCTTTAACTAGACCAGTCTGGTTCTAATTAGAAGCAACACAAACTGACTGTCCTAGAACCAAACTCCATCTGCATCAAAACTATGTGTTCTTAAAATGCAATCTCTACTTCCAGCCAACCCCCAAAAATCCCACCAAATAAAATAAAATACTTTTTGAAGTATAGGAGAGTTTGAGCTTCTGTATATTTTTTTCTTTTTTAATTTGTTGACTAATAAGCCCATTACATGAGTTACCAGCTAGATTTAATTCAGAAACACACCCTTGGTTTCTAGGGTTAGGATCAGAACCTACCTGTAATCCTGTGAACTGCAGCCTTTCCTTACCAAACAGTAAATGTTTTTACAATCAGATTTATGTTGACTTTGAGATGTTTAGCTCTTAAAAAGCTAAGATTTACATTATTTTACCTTTCCTGTCATTGCTGAAAACTTTCCAACTAAAAAGGTGACATTGAGACAAACTGAGTTTTATGTGGTAATTTGGATTGAGTGATCTCTGAGGTGAAGGAGGTTCGGACTGCGTAGTGTGATCTTATTTTCTTGCATCAGAAAAACGAGGGAGAAGAAACTTAAACATTTAAAAATGAGGAAGTAGCTCCTCCACTTACTCCATTGTTCATCCATCCATTCGTTTGCTGTGTTTTCTTAGAAATGTTTTTTTTTAATGACATCATTTTTTTAAATCTTTCTCCTCATGAACAGATTATTTTATTTTGTCAAACTTCAATCCACTTGCTTTAAAGTAGGCTAATGAGCTCAGATTGGATTTCAGAAATAGCAAGTTTTATTTCTCTTACCTAATTTATTCCTGCCTGCTCCCTGAAGCATGTGTATTCCCGGTTATTTCTGAGTGATCTGAGCTAAAATTAGCTGTGTTTGCTGTGCATGATGCTGATGGGTTCTGTTTTGCGGTGCTGGTTGGCACCAGCTGTCCTCCTGACCTTTGTCTGAAAGCGCGATTCCCAGCTGCCATTCAGTTGGACTATGAATCTCAGCAGCTGCATGTCTATGTTTTGGGACGCAACTCAAGTATTCACTGAGGCATGGTGGGAGCTTTCAATGTCAGAATTACTGTAACATAAATAGATATAGACAGATTATACATCAGCATTGCTGATGTAGATTGTAATCGGGTGTGCTGGAGCAGGGATGCATGTAAAACATTCCAACTTATAAACAGCTCTAACCTTTTTCTGGAGCTTCCAGCTATATGAGGTTTTACACCATGTGTTTGTATATTTTTTATGTTAACTTAGTAGACCAACCAGCTATCATCCCTCAGAAATAATCTCTAAATTTGTCTCGGCTTTTGACAATGTTTTTCGTCTTTCAGTGAATGAGATTATCGACAGAGACATTGGTGCATTGAGCAGCTGTGTGCAGACTGACCAGCATGATCAGTTCCAGCAGTACAACTGGGAGCACAGTTCCAGGACCCCCCCTGGGTCCTTCCATGGAGACCCTCAGTAGTTTCAGAAGACAGCTCCTTCATCAGATGGTCCCGTTTGCACAAAGTTCTCCCAAACTGATCTTTAAGTGCCTGAAAACAGTCGGTAGCCTTTGAGGAATCTGTAGCTTATTTTATTTGGAGTTCTGTTCTTATGTTTCTCAGGAATTTTAGAAAAAAAAGCAGCTTGTACCTCACAGTCAAACCAAAGATTTTATTTGTGACTGATTTGGAGAAAAAGTAACTGTAATCTGATTTTAAAGTCATATTACAACTTTAATGCCAACTTCAAAGTTGCAAAAAAGAACACTTTTCTTGAATTTTGACAGGGCCAGTAAGCTTAAACAGTTATTTTTGATACCTGGATCTGATCCAGGAATGCTTTGCCATGGCAACGTTTTAAAGGCTGTTTTATTTTTCTCGCTTTGTTAATGATGTTCATCCTGAATTCCTGTGGTGTGACCTTTGAAGATGCTGAAATATATTGTGAGGTTGAAGTAAAAATAAAGAATACTTAACTGAGAATAATTAGATAAACTTGTCTCCACACTTTCCTGTGTTTTTCTATGCAACCTTTTCAAAACTGACAGGCTTTGTGGAGACCAAACTCTGGTCCAAAATATCAACTGTATGATTTTGACATGCACTCCAATTTTCTTAAAAAAAGAATTATTTGGCTTTTGCAAAGAACTTTTTTGCACTTTGCTGCTCCTTTCCTGTTTTGGCAGTTACTGTATTTCCCTTCGTAGGAAGTCGGAGTGTAAATGGGGTGACGGGTGTGTGTCTCCTCAAACCTACTATTGAAAACTCGGAGAGAAGCCATACTCCTGACTCTGTTCACTCCAGGTATGGGTTAAAATGTTTACAAATGGAATCTATGATGAGGTTTGCTTGCCACTAAAAACATCTTGTATAAATAATCACCATGTGCTTTTTAGTGATGGAACATATGCATATCTTATTTCTGTTATTATTCTATGCATTCTATCTAATCCATCCATTTGTGTGCAACTGGGTATCTTGACAAAATCATTTTAGGCAACTTTCTGTCTTCAGCATATCGTTATTCCATTAATACGCATTTACAAATATTTGTTGGAGGACTGGATAGTTCATAGTTCATATCATGAGCTCAGCAGATGTTCCACCAGGTGTTTTCTAATTGTTGCCACTAGTTTGAAGGAGCTGAGACAAAAGGTGCTCTGTAATGCTCAACTTGGAAACAACAGCTCTGAGGAGGAGTTGCGTGTGGAAGGCGGCAATTTCTCAAACATGCATGAAAGAATGAAAGCAACACTCCAGGTATGTTTATGATGAGGAAATGCAACATGATGTAAAGTTAAAAAGACAATTTTACATAATGCTACCCCTTTAGGTAATAAGACTTACCTAATAATTGTGCCAACACTGTAGACAAATATGAATTTATTTCAAAGGGGAGAATGCATATCAACGTGAATGCATCATGTACATATGACAGATTTAAGTAAACCTGTCAGGCACTCACTTGGCATCAACATAACCAATCTGATTACTACAAGATATTTGCAGAAAAAACGTAAATGGAGTTACACATATCAATGGAAGAATGAGCGTCTCAATATTTCCTTAGCTTTTATTCTATTACACTAAAAACGTGATTGATTGATGGAAACCGAGCGTTGTTCAGACGCACCAGGTTATGATTGATTTTTTTTTTTTTTTAAATGCTGCTGCTGAGACAAACCAAAAACAGGATCGGCTTTAATGCCTGTTAGTCCTCCCATGTTTATGTATCTGTGACAGACTGGTGACCGGTCCAGGGTGACCCCGCCTCTTGATAGGCACCAGCACCCCTTCTGACCCCACTGGGGACAATAAGCGTGTATGATAATGGATGGATATTTATGTATACTTCTTTCATCTTTTTTTAATGCATAAAGCGATGATTAGATTATTTAATCTGCTCCATCATTTAAAGAGCTGCTGATCTGGGTCTGGCTGTACAAAGCAGAACTCTTCCACTGGGCAGTTTGTTCCTGCAGCCCAGCAGCTGTTAGTGCAAGTATAAACCAACACAGTCCCAAATTCCAGTTCATCCTCTCGGCTGCTGTCTGTCCTCTGCAGCAGACTGACCAGAGCAGGCATCAGCTGCAGCTCAAAGGTCCTGGGTTCTCCACAGGAGCCGCATGCTGGAACCTCCTGACTCATTTTGGACGGCGCCTTGGAGATGAAGAGTGGTTTACTGTGGCGACAGTAGCGCAGGATCTGCTGCGGACACAACAAAACTGCCTTCATGAACCTGAAGAAAACGGCATCTCCGTGTCTGGCTCCGGCCTTTTCATACTTCTCTCCTCCACCACCTCCCTTCTCTGCCTCCCACACTGCTGCGCCCTCCCTCCTCTCATACTCCCTCAGAAGTTCCTGAGCGTGCTCCAGCTGATCATCCTCCTCACACAGTTCTGACTCCTCCACCACACTGATGAAGAATGGACAGAAGATGGGGATGTCTTCAGATTCTACCAGACTGAGTTGTTGAAGACCAGAGCTGACATCCATGGAACAGACTGTAGGACTCACTGTTGAAACACCAGAGTGAAAGTTAGACAGTTTGCAACACCTGACAGGTTTCCAGATTCCTAATGTCCCTCTGTGCCAGTGGTTCCCAAACCTTTTCTTCTGTGCCCCCCCCCCCCCCCTGGGTTTAAAAAGGCTGTTTGGTTGAAACAGCGGGGGGGGGG